TCATCATGCAATTGCCATGCCATGCAGGCCGCTGTGGCTGTGTCCGCTCTGCGCTGTTGGTGTGTCGCTGTGCCCGCTGAGCGCGTGTTGTCTGCTGTGCGTGTGTGTTCAGTCTGCTCGCTGAGCGCGTGTTGTCTGCTGTTGCTGTTTGCTGCTCTGCTGTGTAAAAAAAAAAAGTGCGCCCTGTAGTCACAAATCAAGTCCTGTACTCTAAAACCTAGTTTAAGCGAACACAACACACGCACGCACTTTTTTTCCTGCATCGGCCCCTATATTGCGCTGAGCCCTCTCAGGCAAGATTAGAAATCTCGCTTCGCTCGAATAAATGAGGTACTGCTGTGTGGGCTACGAAATACCGAAAGCAAGCAAGGGTGGATGGGTGGTGAAGACAGATAGATCGTGCCTAACAGGGAGAGACAGAATCCGTTTCGAAGTACTTGTAAATGCACTTAGCCTACATACAGCAGTACACACGTACTCGTCCCGCGGAGGGTAAAGAATGGCCCGATAAGCGACGACACCTGGAACACGTTGACTCTTCTTGTGTTTGATGTAGAAGGGCAGTGAGTTTCGGTCTTTCTTTTCCGCAAAGTCTACATCGACGTACACAGCAGTACGACAAGACGTGAGTGGAGTTCTTCCTGATGCCTCCTCGCCATTGACCTCCAAAGACGACGTGGTCCATTCCACAATGAATGAATTCGTGTTGCTGTTGGTTGTCTTAGGCCCTTCCTTTTACATTGGTAATTATTGCACAGACATAGACTACATGTTTTTTGTCTTATTTCTGAAACCTTGAGCAAAGGTGCCTGTATTGCACGCAAAATCCTGGTTGGCATGTAGATACCAATTGCGAATAACCGTGCTCTCCTTGCCTCACTATGTACGTACGTACATGCACAGCTCAAGCAGTAGCGAAGTGGTATTTTCCCTTAGACGCCGATCGATACATCACTTCTCTATGCGCTGTGCTTGCTACATAGCGCTCAGAGTATTAACGCGGTGTTTCAATCCTTTTCACGCGGGGCCGGGACATATGCTGCATCACATACAAATCTTATTCGGCGACGCACAATCCATGTGATATCCTCCTCTTTATGGGGCGTCGCCCGAAGCGGTTTGATGTCGTCACTGAACATTATCGGGTATGGCTGTTTGTCAACAGAATGGGGTCCTAGATAAACTTTTAGCAGACAGCGGGGTGTACCCTCTGGCGCATGGGGCTGAAGCGCTGGAAGACGGTTTATTCATGGCGCTAACCGGCGTCAGGCGTTGCGCCCCACAGCGGAAAAATCGTATACCCCATTTTGTGCCTTGAAACACGCGGGGTACCCCATTTTGTCAATTATTCCCCCTTGCTCTTTTTTTTTTGTGCTTGGAGAGCAGAGAGGACGCCCGCCCTCTCCTCTCTCCGCCAACACGCACAACCAACATCCACTCTTTTCAGGCAGGCGCGACCAGTACCCCTGCCCACACAACCGCATAGCCTTCGCGGTGTGTGTGTGGCTCATCTATCCGGAAGGTTCGAGTAGACCATAGTGCGGTAGCTGTGTGGTAGTCTTCCCCTGGCCCTGTTCGTGTCTCTCTGTTCTTTGGGTGCCTCCTGTTTCCTGCGCTGCTCTCTCTGAGTGACGTTCTTTCTCTGTTACGCCGGGGAGCAAACCAGAGAGAAAGCAAGGCGACCTTCGGCAGCGGCGGCGCAAGCGGCGGCGGTAGGTCACCCGCACCCGCACACCTTCTCTCTCTCCCTCTCACTCACACACACACAGACACGCTTTATGGTAGACCTTGGGGGCGGGCGAGGACCCATCTTAATCTTCCTTCCTGTCTCAAAAAGTTCATCAGCCAGCCTTGTTCGTTCGTTCGCGGAAAAGAGAAACTCGTTTTTTTTTTTTGGTCGCGCGCGCGTCCCTCGCTTGTTGCTGCTGTTTTGGGGAAATAAAGCTTTGATGCATGATGTATGATCACACACTTCTCACACGCTCACACGGTTCGAGCGAAGAGTGTGTATCTTTGAGCTAAGCGTGTGTGGAGCCTTGCCCACGTGCCTGTGGATAGTTGTGCTGCACAACAGTGACCCTTCTCTGTGGTTTGTGGTACCTCTCGAACCATCCCGTGGAAGGCTCGTATTTTTTGCTGGTTGTTCGTGATGGGTGTGTGCGATGTTTGTGACACGTTGTGGGCCAAGCAATTTGTCAAGCCTTGCCCGGCCGCCTTGATGTTGGTCTTCGACTGCTGTACCGCCCTACAACGAACATTCTCTGTTAGTGCCGCCCGTATGCGTAACTTTCGCTTCTTCCAAACCATCCCCACTCATGTGTAGCTAGCGTCTGGCTGATCGTAAACACCGTGTGTTGTTCGTTGCGGAGAAATCTACTGCCAAGATGAAGGGGGGGAAGTAGCAGAGGTAGCCCTCGTAACAATCCCTGCACCGCTCCCTCGTTCTTTGACGTATCTCGCTGTTCCGCGTGCTACCTGACGTTGACTGTAGATCCCTTTTACGGGGAAGCACACGGATGCAACAGCAACATTACGTTTCTGGAGGCGGTGGTGCTGCCACCAGCGGGGGCAACGATCAGCGTTGGGAGCAGGTGAAACAAGCGCAGCATCAACCCCATCCTCAGCAACACCCTGCGGCAGCATCATGGAGTGGGGGCGTCAACACCCTGGCGAGCGTAGGCGGGCGCACCAACAGCTTGGCAATCGCCCACAACCAGCACCAGCACCAGCTCCAGCAGGCTCCATATGTTCAGCAACATCAGCAGCAGCAGCAGCAGCACACTCCTCCTCCTCCTCACCCAGTGTATGACAGCAGCAGGCATTCTTCCAACGGAGCGGCGGAACCGTACCTGACGGCGGCCGCGGCGGCTACGGCGGCATCATGGGCAGCCAACCGAGTCCCGGCGCCCCCGCCCGCCGACAATCGAGCGACCAACCAGCATCCAGCGGGAAGAAACGTAAGTTATTCCCCTCCTCTCCGTGCTGTTGCTCCTCCTGCCGGCGGCGCCACCGATGGGTCGGCTCATCGTCCGCTGCTTGTCGTAGACGACGACCGCGGTGGCGATGGCGGTGGCGGCGGCGGCGTTGACAGCGGTGGTGGCGGCCGGCCTACCTCACGCGGAACGTATCCGGCTTGCGGAAATTCTCTCAGTGGGTTCGCGCAGCAGCCGAACGGCGGCGGCGGCGGCGGCGGCGGCGGCGGCGGCGGCGGCGGCGGCGGTGGCGGCGGCGGCTCTGACTCACTGACAGGCGCGAAAAATGCGGGGGGAAAGCAGCAGGAGGAAAGCCACGGCAAGGCGCCGGCGGCTCGGGAGACGGCCCGGGTTTCTTCCGGCATCTGGCGAGGCAGAGGGGGCGGGAGGTTTAGAGGGAGAGGGTTTGGGGTCGGGCGAGGGGCGGGACGAGGGTCGCTCGATCTTTCGAATCTCCGAACTTCCATGCCGGGTCGCGGCGGGGGGGGCGGCGGCGGCGGCAGCACGGGGGCGGGGGCGGTGGCTGGGAGGGCGACAGCACTAAACAGCATAGAAGCAGAAAAGTCAGGCAGCAGCAGCAGCAGCAGCAGTAGAAAGAAGGAGATAGAAGAGGGGGAGGCGGGGGAGGAAGTAGCAGCAGCAGCTAAACCCTCGGCCGTCGCCAGAGGCGAGGAGAGGGCTGCAGCATTGAATGACAGGCGTAGTGAGAACGCGGAGAGGAGTCCGGAACGAGGCACGGCTAGCGCAACAGCAGCAGCAGCCGCCGATGAAGAAATAGAGGAAGGCGAGTGGTGTTGGCAGGAGAAAACTGAGGGGAGTCCCAAGTCGGAGCAACCCGGCGCAGCAGCCGGGGTCGGGGCCGCGGCGGCGGCGGCGGATCGGCGATCTCCAAGCGGCGGTGGCCGTGCGAACGGGAACAGGAGCAGCAGCACCTGGGACGGCAGTCGCGGCGGCTCGCCGACACGACCTCCGAGCACAAGCGGGAAGAGGGGGCGGGAGCAGTCCAGCTTGTCGCCCCCGAGGGGCCCCGCCAAGTACACCGCGAGGAGCGGTCGTGACCCACGAGGGTTTCGCGGCGCCGCCACCGCCGCCACCGCCGAATCCGCCCGGCGGCCGGAGCGAGGGGACGAAGGTAGCGCCACCAGCCCTCAGAGCCCGTCGTCCGCGGGACAAGACTGGCGGCAAGAGCGGCGACCCCCGTCGCTGGCTCTTCCCTCGCCAGCCGCCCAAGCCGCCGCCACCGCGCCGGGGACCTCGCCGTCCTCGCCGCCTCAGCAGCAGCTGCAGCCGAGCTACGGGGCCCCTCCGCCGCGTGCTCCCCCCCCTGCCGCCGCCGGAGGGGTTTCTTTCGTTTCTCTCCCGGCGGCGTCGCCCGCACCCCCCCCACGGCCCCTCTTGTCGCTGCCTCACCCACCCCACGGACCCCCTCGGCTGATGTACGCGGTGCTCCCACCGCCACGGCAGCAGCAGCAGCAGCAGCCGCAGCCGCAGCAGCAGCAGCCGCAATTTGTCATTCAACCGGGCATGACGGTCACGGTCCCGGGCACGACGCTAGGGGCGGCCGCAGGACCGATTATGCTGCGACCCCCGGCGCCGCTGCTCTTCACGCCGCCGCCGGTAACGGCGGCGGCGGCGGCGGTGGCACCTTCTACGGCGGTTCCCTTGTCGTTGCCGATGCCGATGGCGCCGGCGGCGCCACCACGGCCGCCAACGTTTGTGCCGCCCCCGGCGCCTGCCGCCGCGGCTCCGCGAAAACCCAGGCGTGGAGGGTTGAAGAAGCCATCCCAGGGCGGCGGCGGCGGCGGCCTAAAACTGACGGTGCGGGTGTCGGACGCGGAGCCTTCGGCACAGGAAGCTCCGGTTTTTTCTTCGGACGACGAGGACGACGACAAGCCGGGCAGGGTCTCGCGGCGGGACACACGAGGCGAGTGGCCGCACGAGTTTAAGTTCCGGCCCCAGCTGGGGGGCAGCAGGAAGGTGTGCGCCGTCTGCGGGAAGGACTTCGTGCGCATCTGCACGGCCTGTGGGAAGTGCATGGAGTGCTTCCGCGCGGGGGACAGGGATTGCGTGGAGGGTGCGGTGAACAACACGCCGCCGCGGCGGCTCTCGCCCCCGCCGGAGGCGTTGCCGGATGAGAGAGAATGGCCAGAGTACCCCAAGACTATGACGAGGTATGTATGTACTACTCTACTGTGTACCGTGCGTGGTGTATTCCGGCGTTTTGCGCCCCTGGCTCGGTCGTGCTACTTCGAAACCGTCCAAAGCGGCGATCACTACCTTGTGCAGTGCGTGTGGCAAACGAAGTCATGCCCCCGTCTGAAATCTCAAGTCTGTTGGTTGTATAACATGTTTTCATGTGTTGTATCACGCAATCGAGTGGCAGCGAGCGATGGATGATAGATAACACGGAAAGGAAGTGAATCTCGCTGTGCGTTTTTTTCAGTCCTTGCTTCGACAAACGTAGAAAATCCCAGAGCATGGCATGCAAAGGGGGCCAATAAGATACCTGTTCCCTCCGGGTTTACCGTTTTTTTTCACGTGTGTGACAAGACTGCTGTAGTGACCAAAATTCTTCGTTGCGGTCAACCAAGCCAGATCTCTTCCACAAATACCCTATGTAATGTATTTTTGTCGTTTTTTGGGGGAACATTCAATAGACCGGCATGTGTGTGCGTTGTCGACGAGACTTTCGTGTACTCTTTCACAAAAGCTGTCCTCTTCAATGTAACATGCTATCCGTTCCGGTTACTCGCGTGCTTCGGCGTGTTAGTCGCTGCAAGACGCAAACCATACCATGAACTTGCGTAGATAGAGTGACGGACGTGGAGCTCCCCCCCCCCCCCCCCCCCCCCCCCCCCCCCCCCCCCCCCCCCCCCCCCCCCCCC